GAGTTTGAGACTTTAAAACTTCGATAATTAAATTTTAAAAAAGATTTGGTTTTAACTTATTATTCGTTTTCCTGTAATGTTTCCAATAAATTCTATTTTCTCTTATCAGAACTTAAACATGATCTCTTGAAACTAATTATACAAATTAAGGAAAAATAACAATAGGGATGAAACGATTAATTTTAAAAGTATATTATCCTGGAAAAATTGATAGACACGTCAAACCTTAGGAAACAGGCAGACATTTTTACTGGTTTTTAAACAAATTTTTGCTTCAGAATTATAAAGATTTTTCCTGATTCTGATAATTTTCGGAGTTGGAAAAAATAACCCCTTTTATTTCGGACATTTTTAATTATCACTTCATTTTAAAGTTTGTATATGTATCATGCTGAGCAATGATCAAGAAATGAGTTTTGGACATCTTTTAATGGGGTTGCAAGAATTATTGAGATCTCAAGTTGAATAAATTAAAAAAATTAAACATTTATTGCATTTTATGCGTACATTTTTAAAAACAAATTAGTTTAATAACATGGCCCCTTTTAATTTTTTAAAGTCAAAATTTACAATTTTCTTAAAATTATGTTTATAATAAAATGGAAATAAAAATTAAAATTGTCATAATTGTCATAAAATTGCATTTACTCTCTTTTTCATCCCTTAAATATTTCTAATAACGACCCTTTGAATTTTTAAAAGTTTTAAAATAATTTTGAATTTATTTTAAACTGATTTTTTTCATTAACACTTCTACCACATGCGTTTTATAATGGAAATGAGTATTTTCCACAAACTTTAATTTTTAATCCCTATTTCAAGATATAAATTCTGTTAGATCAAATAGTCTAAATATAAAAGGTTGACACAATCAGGTTGCAAAGAAATGAGGATTAAGAATATGTGTTTGTGGCAAAGACTCATTTCCTTTACAGATATTTAAATATGTTGTTTCCGTCACGAAATATCTCCTTTACAGATATTAAAATATGTTGTTTCCGTCACGAAATATCTCCTTTACAGATATATAAATATGTTGTTTCCGTCACGAAATATCTCCTTTACAGATATATAAATATGTTGTTTCCGTCACGAAATATCTCCTTTACAGATATTTAAATATGTTGTTTCCGTCACGAAATATCTCCTTTACAGATATTTAAATATGTTGTTTCCATCACGAAATATCTCCTTTACAGATATTTAAATATGTTGTTTCCATCACGAAATATCTCCTTTACAGATATTTAAATATGTTGTTTCCGTCACGAAATATCTCCTTTACAGATATTTAAATATGTTAATGTTTCCATCACGAAATATCTCCTTTACAGATATTTAAATATGTTGTTTCCGTCACGAAATATTTCCTTTACAGATATATGAATATGCTGTTTCCGTCACGAAATATCTCCTTTACAGATATTTAAATATGTTGTTTCTGTCACGAAATATCTCCTTTATGTTTCCGTCACGAAATATTTCCTTTACAGATATTTGAATATGCTGTTTCCATCACGAAATATTTCCTTTACAGATATTTGAATATGTTGTTTCCATCACGAAATATTTCCTTTACAAATATTTAAATATGTTGTTAATTATAAAATCATAAAACGTGAATGTTTATCACAGTAAATATCCCGGTGTCCATGTTTTTCATTAAAAGAATAGTTTTGTTGATTATTTAACTGCTGATTATATAACTGTTTATCTGACCTTATTCTGCTAAAATTTCAAGGCAGAAAAAGTATTTCAAACATATGAAAAATTTAAAATCTGAATAATTCTTTTTAAAAAAAAAATTTCTCAGAAACTGAGAATATTCATTATGATAGATTATGTTTGTTTAAAAACATTTAACATTCATCTTCCAAAATAAAGCTTAGAAATTAATCATTAAGCATTTTTAAATGAAGGAATTGTGAATTGATTCTTTCCTACAAACTTTCAAACTTTGATTATTTAACCTAACATAATTCATACTTTATCATTGGGTTACAAAGATATAGTGATTAGTAAATCAAAGTTTGTGGCAAAGACTCAATTTCTTTGTATACATTAATTTAAAAAGCCCACGTTCCAACTCCGTGCAACTACGGTTGTCATGCAAATTGAGGTAAAAAATATCACTAAATCCTCATCTTATCAAATCAATTTTGATCCTAATCGTTTGTCTTAAATTATTGATTTCCTTCAACTGCAAAACTTTTTAATTTTTTTTTGTTAAAAATTTCTCCAAGCTCCGTTTTTTTATATTAAATAAATAGAATAAAATTGCCTCCTAATTAAACTTGGTCCTACCACGTCCAACTCCACCAACCTGCCTTAACTTTCAATAAACTAGATTTCAGGATAATAATCTTTTATCTACACAGTCATCAAAATTATTCACCAACTGACGAGACCGGATAAATTTCAAAATAATCTCCAACCCTTTTTCAATTATGTAGCTCTGGATATGAAGATCCCAAAGCTGCAAAACTCTCGTTTTCAGCTTTTGTTTCGATTTAGTAAATTTTCTAGTATTCTACATAGCCCAGGTCGGAAACCCATTAGCTCAGAAAACACTTCGGTCTGTTTTTTCTTAGCTTTGGTTAAGCATATTTAATCTTGCTTCTATACTACATAAAACAAGGCATAGCTAAAAAAAATAGAACAGTGAATGCAAAAATATGACAACAAAAGTTAACAGTTATCTATTTCATAAAGATCTTCGTTCAATATATATATATTTGTTCAACTGTTTTGTTTCAAAGTGTTTTCAAGACCTGGCTCTAGCTAGCAACCAAAAAATAGCTTCGTCTTTATTTTTTTTATTTAAAATTTTGCTTCAATTCTAAATAAGCAATTCATGTTAGTCATTAATTTTTTTATATTTACTCTCCTGATAATTGCAATTTTTCTTGAAATTCATTATTTAAGGTTTTTAAACTTACACTGGAGGACATATATTCCAGATTTTCACTACCTATCACTATCTATGCAAAATTGACCTCCCGCCCCCTTGAATATTTTTATCTAAAATTCTGAGATTTGTCTTTTAGAAAATCAATAAAAAAGTGCTACCAGTCGGTGCAATGCCCATATTTTGCGGGGGGGGGGGTCGGGGTAGGGGAGGGGGCGGCATCGAAACGTTTTGCTCTAAAATGTCGTTTCAGCCTGTAAAATGTACTCGAAATGTTCTGAATCCCTTTTCCTAAGATTTTCAAAAAAAATTTATGTAATTCATTTTGAAAAATCCTTAATTCTATTATTGAAAAAACTTGAGATTGTAAATGCGAAATTACAACGTAGTCCCTTCAATACTTAAAGTTTTAACTTTTTGATATTTTTGAGCAAAATGTAGAATTATATTATTACGATTAAATCTTTATAAACTTTATACATACTATACTTTATATTGTTTTCCTTTTGTTTTATCAAATACTGAAAACTGAGTTCTCTAAAATATATTCATCGTTTATTTTTGGAAGGTTTAAAAACTTCATAAAAAAGGTCTTTAAAAAGGATTGTTGTTGAAATTTCAAGGGACTGACCCCGGATTCACAACGGTAAACTTTTACAATAATTTGAGCAACAATGAAAAGATATCTTAAATTGAAATATTTTTGCTGGATGAATCTGCAAGTAACTGAACCCACAATTATCAATTTTTAGAAAAGTTTTAAATTTCATAGAGTTTTAAGTATGTTAGATAACTGCTAAATGCAACAAAAAATACATGCTTGAATTTCTGCATTTTTTATACTTGAGATTGTAAAAGAATTTTATGACGCAAAACATTAAACGCACACAACGTTATTACGGGAAAACAGATATGTAATTTCTTAAAGGAAGTATTTGCGAAAAATTAAAGGGCACTCCTGTATGCCGAGTCCATTAGCGCCTGATCCAATCAGGGTTCAGCCGTGTGTTTGTTGTCTATTCTGAACCAAGAGAAATAGTGTGGTGGTAACATCTATCTATCTATCTATCTCATTATCCAATCAGAGTTATGAATCCTTCAATTGGCGCTATAACAGTAAATGGAAATATTTACTTCTACAAAAAACTATGTGGAGCGGATAAAGGCTTACGAAGAAAAATTATGGATGGTGATCGCTATCAATCTTACTTCTATCTGTTGCGTCTATAAGGAGAAAATTATTAAAAACCACTCATTCCGAAAGTTCTTTTCATATAAGCTAATACACACTGTAAAAACTTTTCAATGTTAAATTCTTCGATCACACACTTTATAAATTTTTAACGTTTCACGGAAGAGATTAATTTAGTATTTTTATAATAGAATTAAAACTTTGCAATATTGAAATAATTTGTCCAGTTTAACCGAATTTAATGAATAACATTTATATAATAAAAACTACTACAGGAATTGAGTCTTTGCCACAAACTCAAAGTTTCTATTATCTATATCTTAGTATCGTGATGGCGTAAACCTTTAATAATTCATACTTAGATTATTTGATCAAAACGAATTCATAGTTTGAAATATCTAAGGTCTACGACAATGGGTTGCAAAGATGTAGGGATTAGAAAATTTCAGTCTGTGGCAAAGACTCAATTCCTTTGAGCCAAAGACACAAAGTTTATTAATCAAATTTACAGTCTACTGTTTGTTGTTTGTACTCAGTAAGGTATCCAGTAGTATTTAATCGAACAAAATTAAATTGCTCGAATCATTTTTGTCAATTTTGTTGACGTACAATGCCCAATTAAGCGATGATTAATCATCACGTACTATTCTAGTATGCATGTATTCTTTACAATAACAGTTATCACTCCTCAAATAATCTGCGTTGGTCAGACCGTGTTTCTTTAAACATGGGACGGTTTTGACTCCGGGTAGGGATTTTAGCAAAGAATCCGTTACTAAAGAATATCAAGGTGTAGGTCCAGGTTTGTGTTCATGATAAAATTGAGCCGAGTATCTTATACAAACTGACTTCACAGTATAACCACAATGTAATCATATTTAAGCGCTGGATTCATTTTCAGAGTCAGTTTCATTTCAAACTTCAAGGAAGAAAGATATAAACCACAAGATGAAGTGTGTTCTTCCGACAGAGATTTCTACAAAGAAATTGATTTTCTTCACATCCGCCTTTCTCCAGGCTCTCTTTGGATGCTTTACGTTGTTTTTCAAAAATGACATTTTCCAGGGTCTTCTGAACTCGGTAAAAAAAATTTTAATTTTTTTAAAGACAAAAAAGTTTATTAAATAATTTTATTTAAATTCTTGATTTCTTAAAAGAAAATGATTTCTTTTTTATCTAACAATCAAAAAACACCACAAAAAATCTTGTATTATACGTGTACATTATATTTGTTTGTTTTTAATTTTATAAAATAAATATTTTTTTCATTAGGATAAATAAAATAAATTTATTTATTTATTATTGTTTAGCAACTGGTTGTGAAAGAGGGAACAGAATCCTTCAAGGCATGGCGTGAGACACCTATGCCAGTTTATACAAAGTTCTATTTCTATTCTATCACCAACCCGAAGGAATTCCAGCTCAACCACGCGAAACCAATCCTGGAGGAGAAGGGCCCTTATGTGTTTAGGTGAGACCCATTAGTAACTTACTGATTTATTTTGGTCATCGTTAAATACTAGTGTTCACAAAAAATGGAAAGAAATGTGATGAATCATCAAATTGCTAAACTTCTGACTGGGACATATTATTGCCGCGTATCGTATTTTTAATGAAATGATGTTTTTCTAATCTTGACATTTCACCGACTTCAGATGCGTATTCAAAAATACGTCCCGACAATGGATTTTATCCCTTCGTATTTTTCCACTGGCAGCAGGGGGTCGTATTCTTAATTTGCAACAATGAGAACCTGCAATATAGAGTTAAACCTAACGGATTAGACGACAGCTTACATTTCCGTGATCGCATTGTATTAAACATAAAATTCAAAACATTCTTTATAAAATAAGTCGTTCTTTAAAAACGTATTTTTTCAATCAAATTTTTTACTTCGTCCACAAAATACACAGTCCTATCTTATCTTCTGAACCCCGAATTGTAAACATCCTACTTTTTTCAGGGAAAAGGAGGAGAAAGTTGATATCGTCTGGAACACCAACAGCACCGTCTCATATCGTCGCCGGAAGTTGTATTGGTTCGAACCGGAAATGTCTGTTGGACCACTGACCGACACAGTGATGACTTTGAACCTGCCCCTAGTAGCATCAGCAGACTCCGCTAGAAATAATTTCTTCATGCAATGGGGTCTCTCCGACATCTTTCAAACAATGGAGGTATAAAAACAAATAATAAAAACATTGTTTAACTTTAAACAAATGTTTCTTAAATAGTTATTGTCTTCAAACCTAATTCTATATATTTCAGGCAAAGCTTTTCAATAATAAAACCATCGGAGAGCTGATGTTTGAGGGATATCAAGACGAACTTATTTCTATCGGAGATGCTTTTACCGAAGAAGAAGACAAAGCTGTTCCCATGGACAAATTCGGATATTTTTACAAGGTCAATTTTTAAGCTATTATGAAGATTACAAAACTATAATTTTTAATGAAAAATGCACTTTCAGTGTTATGCAAATATTTATTTTATATATTTGTAGAGAAACGGAACGACCTTTGCTGACGGAGATCTGAGTATGCATACAGGAGAAGATGATATCTCTCTTCTTGGTAAGATCTCTACCTGGAATCATCAAACCCGGACTAGCGCCTACTCTGGAGAATGTGGACAGGTTCGAGGTTCCTCGGATGGATTATTTGCTCCGGGTACCCTGGCCATGAAGGATAGGTTCGAGCTCTGGTCCACTGATATCTGCAGACCTCTGAGCTTCCAGCGGGACGGAGTTGAGAGTGTTCACGGAATCACAGTTGATAAATTCAGACTTTCTCAAGACGTGTTTGCAAACAAAACCCTCTGTGCTGACAATTCATGTTATAACAATAATCTCCCCTCCGGAGTTCAGAATACCACACAGTGTAAGATGAAATCTCCATCTTTTGTGTCTCGTCCTCATTTCCTTGGAGCTGACCCGTTCTACCAGGATCAGTTTCAGTACGGGATACATCCGGACCCAGAGAGACACGAGAGCACAATTCTCATCGAACCCAAATCATCAATTCCTTTAAAGGTAATTTATTTATAAGTTTATCTATTTAATAGTCAAAAGGCTAAGGAGTGTTTTTGTTAGGTTTGATAGAAATTTATTGACTAAAGAACGTATTTTGTTGTTTAACATTTTGATCTCATGGAGTTTTTCTTTCAGGTGTCCATGAAACTTCAGATCAATATCTTGCTGGAGAAAAGTGAAGGGATCAACTATATATTCAAAGATCTCCCCCGGGTTTTCTATCCCGTATTTTGGTTCGAATCTGAAGCAAGTCTTGAGGAAAGTCAATCTGATCAGATCGCTCTTCTTGTCAACCTTCCGATAATTCTCCAGACTTGTGGGATCATTGGTATCATCCTCGGACTCATGGGAATCCTAATCATGATGATCTGCTCCTTGAGAAACAAGCAGAGCAAACCCGATCTTGTAAACTGTGAGTACGGTAAAGTGTCTCTAAAGGAGCAGGAGGCCTTGGCAGGATTAGTTAGCACTCCTATTATCAAATCCTCTTTGCTCTGTACGTCGCACTAGACGATCTGAAAAGAACTTTCCAACTCGACAAAACCAAAGAATTTATAGTGACATTATTCATATCAGTTAAACCCTCAACCCTGAAGAGCTGTGATGTATGATGACGGAAGGTGGTTTTGACACGTTATTTTAAAAAAATGCTTAGATGATAAATGAAAATACATTCTGAATAAATATGTATATTTGTTAAATTTATATAATTGAAAATTATTAATAAAATTTTATAAATAATATTTCCTTTTATGCTTGACTGAGAGTTGAATCTATTCAGAAAGTAGGATATTTTCAACTAATGTTTCTACAACTAGGCTTAGTCATTCAAGATCTCCTTTGGTAAAACATTTATTATGAATTGACATTGTATATTTTTTCTCCTGAAACTGGAAAAACTTGCAACTAATATGATTTCATGTGAAGTTTGAACTGAGTTGGAAATCAACGTGGAGCAAAAGGTTTGTGTGTTTCAAAATATACCCTAACGTAAAATTTACGGTTATTAATTTATATTTTTCAATTGACTTCTATCATAAATACAGATCTCATATTTTTATTACAATTTAAAATTTATTTTTTATTTATTGATATTGAAGAAGTTATTTGAACAAAGGAATTGAGTCTTTGCCACAAACTCTGATTTTCTTATCCCTATTTTTTTGGAACACAATGCTGTAGACCTTAGATATTTCAAACTATGAATTCTGTTGGATCAAATAATTTAAGCTTTTAATATCATCGGTTTACACTGGGAGGTTGCCAAAAAAGGAAGTTAAAATTTGAGTTTGTGGCAAAGACTCAATTCCTTTCGAGTTAAAGATTTATGTTTATCGATGCCCTATTTCTTAAGAAATAAAAAAGAGTGGGGGGGGCGGGTAGTTGCTATCTGCCCCAACGTGGTCATATACCTGTTTAAAACCAGACCAATAACGGGCTGATAAAGAATAAAGAGCAGTTGAAAAATCCCGTCATTAGAAAAAGGTGAATTCAATTAAAATTTTAAGCCTGCCTTTTTGAACGAAAGAAAATCGTAAAAGAATTGAGTCTTTGTCACAAACTAAAATTTTTTAATCCCTTATATCAACCTGACAGTGTAAACCATTGATATTTCAATCTTAGAATTTGTTGATCCAACATAATTATAGTTTGAAATGTGTAAGGCTTTTGACATTGTGTTTCAACTATATTAAGATTAGAAAATCACAATTTGTGGCGAAGACTCAATTTCTTTTCTACTAGTTCGGATTGTTCAGGCTGCATAAGGTGAACATTTCTTACGTAAAGAAACTGCACATATATTCAAGTAATCTTTAATTTCAAAAGTTGCACCCATTAGTGACGAGAAGGTCAATTTTGACCGGGTGAGGTTTTTTAAAGTGTCTTTATTCTTTAACTAAATGTCGTTCTGTCTTTTCCTGTGCTTTCCGTAGGATTCCCTGTTTTTAAAACATATTTTATATTTAACGTAATTTCAAAATTTTTTTTTTTGAATTTTCAATTTTAAAAACCCCAAAAAACAAGATTTTTAATTCGGAAGGAAACCAAAAGAACACCCTGTAATTTAGTTTTGAATCTATAAAATTGTCAATTTTTTACTATAAAAAATTTAAAGACATTTTTGGAAACTTCTTTTAAAGATCTAAATAAATAAAACATGAAAAGGAAAGTTTTAAAGATAATTAATTAATTATGAATTACCAAAGTTTTTTAGAATTTCATGTTTTACAGGTCACCCTGTACAAAAAAAAATTAAAATTTAATTGAATATTTTTTTTCATGAGTACAATCAAGTTTTTTTATGTTAAGATCCTTCTAAAACAACTTCTCTAATAGTTAATGGTCTCGTTACTAATGGGTTAACTATTCACAAATGTACCCGTAAAGCCTTTGCCTGATAAAGGATTACTGAGATTTCCTAGTTGGTTTAACCGAAAATAGATTTCTTCCGTTTATTGAATCTTTTTAGTATTGATTCGCGGATTTCGCAACAGAATTTTATATTTACAACAAAGGAATTGAGTCTTTGTCACAAACTCTGATTTTCTAATCACTATATCTTTGGAACCAAATGTTGTAGACCTTAGATATTTCAAATTATGAATTCTGTTAAATCAAATAATCAGAGTTTGAAATATCAAAGGTTTACAACATCGGGTTCTAAAGATATTGGGGTTTAAATATTTGATTTTGTTACAAAGACTCAATTCCTTTACAGATTTTTAATAAATCAGCGATGTTGTTAAACTCTATGTATGTTTTTTCTAATCTTAAAATACTATATCCGGTCAAAAGCCGGATGAAACGAATTAACCTATTTTTTAAGGACTTTTATTTAAGTAAGCAACCAGGAATTCTGGGAAACTTTATTTTTGTAAAAATACTGAAAATACCCTGTGTTTGTATTTACTACGGTACCAGGTTCCCCCTAGTTTCTAATTTCTGCCCCATTCTCTCTCGAATAGGAGCTAGGTACGCACATAGTTATATAATAATACTCTGCTCCACAGATATTTTTAATGCAACTTTATAAACTAGGCTTTTAGGGCGCTTCGCGCCCATCTTCTATTTAAATTGTGAACATGTTCTTTTTGTTTACATTACAAAACACAGAAGAAAATTTTTTTGCGGATTTAAAAAAAAAATCGCGGATTTTCAAGAATTTAAATTTTTTTACAAAATTAAAAACCTTTAAAACACATTTTTAAAATTTTTATCATTCATAAACCTTCCCTGTGCAGGTCACGTGATGTCCCACAAAAAATTTTGGCCCGATCGGTTTAGCCGTTTTGACGTTTATTGGATACAAACAAACAAACAAACAGACAGACAAGCCAAATTTATATATAGATGGGACTGAAGACATGATTTCAATTGACGTGCCAAATTCACAACGATACCTAATTAAACGTATGAATGGTCAAGGATGAATGATATATCATCATTTTCAAAACTAAAAAATTGATTATTTTCAATTTAGGGATTGTAAGATAACTTGCGGATAATGATGTCAAAGATGATGAAGTAAATTAACAAGATTCAACACTTTTCTATATTATAAAGTGACGATATCTTTTGTATTTTTACTCAGGTATATCTAGGTTTAAATGTCGACAAAATAGATCAGAAAACTAAACAGTTCTTTGTAAAGTATGAACATTAATAATTATTTCCCTTTAATGTTTTTTTATCATAAATACGGCGTGAAGAGGCTCCAGGATTGTTTTGCGTATACAAAGATTGTATCCTCTTATGGATTTGCTGCGTAGTACGCAGTCGGGACGGTTGGTTTCATATTCTCATATCTTTTATTTATTTATTTTATTATTACCTATTATTTATACAATTTTCTGATCACTGAGTAGTGCGTATCTAAAATTTAGTGAGATATTCCTATATTATTCTGTTATCAAAGGATTTATGAGTCATTGCCATAAGCTAAAATTGTATTTTCCTTATATCTTTGCAACCCGATTGTGTAACCTTTGATATTTCAAGCTTATATTATTCAATCTAACAGAATTCATAGTTTTTAATATCTAAGGTTGCAAAGATATTGGGAATAAAAAATCAGAGTTTGCGGCAAAGACCTTAGTCCTTTCAACAAAATGTTTAAAATTTCGAATTGCTTTTTGAAATCAGTTATGAAATGAAATATTGCTCCCCCTCCCCCCACCCCACTCCCATTCCGTTTCATAAAATCTTTATCACAGAATAAGCCGGTAAACCGATTATCTGAATTATTTGTATTCAGATAATCTGTTAAATATAATATGTATCTGATCTATTAAAAAGATGAAACAGGGCGATGTAAATAGTGCTGACCTGACCACGTTATTTATCTTAAACTCTCTCGTCCCATTTTTTCCTTTGAGTAAAGGAGATTGCACATTCTTATCCGAACTTTAATTTACTTCAGAAAATGAACTTTCCAAGGTTTGCAATTAGTTTTTGCCTTTAGGGATATATTAAGCAATTACTTTCGTTCACAAAAATTGCCTAACAGATTATATTTGAAATATTATACAATTATATTTGTGTTGTCAGAGAACCGACATTTATGTAGTTTTTGATTAATGTAACTAGGATCTAGGATTCCAGGGCGCGTCGCGTCTTTTTATGTGTGCAAATTTTAGCTAGAACTGTTTTTCTAACGGTAACCATTTTTTTAAACATTACAGGTATATACTTTCATGCATATGCACCAATCAAGATTTAAGACAAATCAGTCCAGTGGTTCACGAGGAATGATCAGAAATACAAACACACAGAGATAACTTCTTTACACATATAGCTATTATAGCTTGGGACCCAGCTTTCCTTGACAACTAAACGTTCTCTTTAAACGGTAACCTACTCTATTTAGAAGTTAAATCATTAACCTACTCTATTTAGAAGTTAAATCATTAACCTACTCTATTTAGAAGTCAAATCATTAACCTACTCTATTTAGAAGTTAAATAATTAACCTATTCTATTTAGAAGTTAAATCATCAACCTACTCTATTTAGAACTCAAATCATTAACCTACTCTTCTATTTAGAAGTTAAATCATTAACCTACCCTACTTAGAAGTTAAAACATTAATCTACTCTATTTAGAAGTTAAATCATTAACCTACTCTATTTAAAAGTTAACTCATTAACTTACCCATTTCGAAGTTAAATCATTAACCTACTCTAGTTAGAACATTAACCTACTCTATTTAGAAGTTAAATCATTAATCTACTCTATTTAGAAGTTAAATCATTAACCTACTCTATTTAGAAGTTAGCTCATTAACCTACCCATTTCGAAGTTAAATCATTAACCTACTCTAGTTAGAACATTAACCTACTCTATTTAGAAGTTAAATCATTAACCTACTCTATTTAGAAGTTCATTCCTGTGGTCATACGGAGTTCCCCAAGTTAAAATTTGAGGCCAAAAAATATAGGTTTTCATGAGTTTAGACGGAATAAACTAACTGGCTAACAACGATTACTACTTTATATATTTAGATGCAAATGGAAACCGTAAAAAAAAGTTCTCTAAAATTATTTAAAAATAAAGTTTGGAAAAAAATTTAAAAGATCCTGTTGAAAAATGTTCTACATTTTTCTAGACTTTATTTGATACTATAAGTTCTCGAAATGAAGTTTTTGTTAGGTAATAATGAATGTTTCAGCAATGCATTGACTCTTAATAAGCGATAGTACAAATCGTCACATTAGCAACAGAATTTTATATTTACAACAAAGGAATTGAGTCTTTGTCACAAACTCTGATTTTCTAATCACTATATCTTTGGAACCAAATGTTGTAGACCTTAGATATTTCAAATTATGAATTCTGTTAAATCAAATAATCAGAGTTTGAAATATCAAAGGTTTACAACATCGGGTTCTAAAGATATTGGGGTTTAAATATTTGATTTTGTTACAAAGACTCAATTCCTTTTGACGATTTGAAAAAAGCAAACTTCTACAGAATAAAGTTTTAAAATATTTGAACCTTCTCATATTGTCGTAAAACNAGACTATACATATGACTACATAGACTATACATATGACTACATAGACTATACATATGACTACATAGACTATACAGATGACTACATAGACTAAACAGATGACAACATAGACTATAAGATGACTACATAGACTATACAGAAAACTACAGAGACTATATAGACGACTACATAGACTATACAAATGACTACATAGACTATATATGTGACTACATAGACTATACAGATGAATACATAGACTATATATGTGACTACATAGACTATACAGAAAACTACAGAGACCATACAGGCGACTACATAGACTATACAAATGACTACATAGACTATATATGTGACTACATAGACTATACAGATGAATACATAGACTATATATGTGATTACTACATAGAATATACAGATGACTACATAGACTATACATATGACTACATAGACTATACATATGACTACATAGACTATACAGATGACTACATGGACTATATATGTGACTACATAGACTATACAGATGACTACATAGACTATATATGTGACTACATAGACTATACAGAAAACTACAGAGACCATACAGGCGACTACATAGACTATACAAATGACTACATAGACTATATATATAACTACATAGACTATACAGATTACTACATAGAATATACAGATGACTACATAGACTATACATATGACTACATAGACTATACATATGACTGCATAGACTATACAGATGACTACATGGACTATATATGTGACTACATAGACTATACAGAAAACTACAGAGACCATACAGACGACTACATAGACTATACAAATGACTACATAGACTATATATATATGACTACATAGACTATACAGATGACTACATAGACTATATATATAACTACATAGACTATACAGATTATTACATAGAATATACAGATGACTACATAGACTAAACATATGACTACATAGACTATACATATGACTACATAGACTAAACATATGACTACAAAGACTATAAATATGACTACAAAGACTATACATATGACTCCATAGACTATACAGATGACAACATAGACTATGCATATGACTACATAGACTATACAGAAAACTTCAGAGACTATACAGATGACAACATAGACTTTACATACGACTACATAGACTTTACAGAAAACTACAGAGACTATACATATGACTTCATAGACTATAAAGACAACTACAAATGACTCCATAGACTAGCTATAATTAAACGAATTTCCAATAACTCCAACTGACCCAAACAAGACTAGCTTTGACTTCAGAGCATAACACATGAATAAAAGTGACCAAAAAAGACTTATGAGGATTAAGGGTGGACTAAAAATGACTACAAGGGGGGGGGGGTAGGGGCAGTCATGCGATAGAGAATGTACTACAAAGGAGTCCATAAGACTGCAGCGTACTGAAGTTTATAAAGAAAATGTATGTGGTGGCTCATAAACCTGCTGGAATTAATCAATATTTGTATAATGGATAATGTATAAATGAATGTATAAAAATAAAAACACAGGTAAAAATGTATTTCTAACTAGCTAGACTCCCCTGTTCTGGTGACAATACTAGCTTCTTAACCCTATAAAGGCTGTGGGGTCTGAATCTATGTATAGCCTGGGGGGGGGGGGGACGTTCGGAGCCCCCCCCCCCCTAGAAAAAGGCATTAGAGAATAGGGATAGGGTTTAAATGCATGTTCATAGTCCAATTTTTCATGGCTAGCTCAAAGAAAAAAAATTAGACCTAAACTTTAATAGTTTGGGTGCTCGGGATACTTTAATAGTTTGGGTGCTCGGGAGGGTGGAAAAAGGCCTAAAAAGGGTAAACAAAATGATAAAATATTTTTTTTGTTTAAAACATGTATCATAGTGTAGCACATGTTTCTACGTGCATTTTTCAAGGGCTTTGTAAAAATTTAGTTTTTAGATCTGTAGCTTTAGTCACCAAAAAGTTATGGGCTATTTTAGACTTTTTTCCCTATATCCCTGTAAAGACATATTTTCACGTTATGCATCAATATTTACCCTGACACAATATTGCAACCCTGTAAAGACATTTTCCGCTATGCATGCATTCTTTTAAAAACGGTTCAGCTTATGAAAATAGTGGTTATATTTAATCCCAATATTATTTAACCACTGACCATATATGGAACTTGAGGGACTTAAGTAAATAAGAGGCCTACGATTTACCTCTGTTAGTATTTGGAAACACAAAAAATTTAAAGATGACAGACATAAAAGTAATCACAACCTTTAAAGTCATGCACGATTCTCAGCAGAACCCTTTAAACTTCTAACTAACTAAAAAATCTGAGTTTTCTCTCTACAAAGCATAAATTCGCAAGTAACTTTTATAGCTTACCCAAAATTGAAAAAAAAAATTTATTTTCGGCTGTAATAATGTTATCAATGGTCAGACACAGTTTTACAGAGCACCCTTGTGAATCGGACATGCAAATCTTAAAATGGAGGGTTACTTAAAACTACGCCTGAAGTCCCTGTAAGGCAAGATTAATTATCAACGCTTATGCAAAATTTTGCTGCTGTTTCACATATCCTACACGTGTATCTAACGATACACATTGGGGTATCAGGGGGGGCTGTTTCACATATCTTACACGTGTATCTAACGATACACAGTGGGGTATCAGGGGGGGGGCAGTAATATTGAGTTTACACCATAAACCTCTTTTTCAAGTCGAAGAAGACTTGGGCGCTTAAGCAATTTTTTTGAGAGAAGTCTCTAAATTCTAGTAATGTTGCATTGAAGTTCTAAACTCGGACGGAAATCTGGTAATTTCCGTGAAAACTTTAAAAATGGGTATTTTAAGACCTTTGGGAAGTTGCTGCTTGAAAAATTACACATTTGGGAAGTTGCCACTTGGGAAATTGTAACTTGGGAAGTCGCCCGTGGGAAAATACCTATCTAACACTAAATATATATACATTAAAAAGGACAGATAAAGTCTAAATTAAAATTGTTCAAAGATGTTTTACTGACAGATCTTTATAAGAATAACCGTCCAATTCCGTTCCGATGAAAACTGATAAACTGAAAAATACAGAAAGATTGAAGTTGGTGTGGGTGTGAATCAGGCAACAGGTATCCTCACATGCTCCACAGATCTCTCCAAACCAGTTGATGAGCTCAAATACTCTTCCAACTTCTCTCTAAACAAGGAAAGCTTAAAAACATAACGATTTCTCTGTTTCCTAAGAAACTTCTTCATTTTGAAACGTCCTTAATATAAAGTACTTCCCGGAGAAACGTCCTATAGTAAAAACCTACACGGATAAACTTCCTCAGTTTAAAACGTCCTATATATACTCTTACCATGAGAAACGTCCTAAATAAACTTTTACCCTGAGAAACTTCTCCATTTTGAAACGTCCAATATAAAGTCTCACTATGAGAAACGTCCTTTATAAACTCCTACCCTAAGAAACTTCTTCTATTCTAAACGTCCCATATAAACTTTTACCCTGAGGACCGTCTTCAATTTTAAACGTCCAATGTAAACTCCTAACCTAATAAAGGTCCATTCAAACTTATACCCTGAGAAAGGTCCTGTATAAAGTTTTTGCATAAACTCCTACCCTGAGAAAGGTCCTCTATAAACTCCTACCCTAATAAAGGTCCTGTATAAACATCTACCCTGATAAGGTCCTGTATGAACTCCTACCCAGAGAAAGGTCCTCTATAAACTCCTACCCTAATAAAGGTCCTGTATAAACACCTACCCTGATAAAGGTCCTGTATAAACTCCTACCCTAATAAAGGTCCTGTATGAACTCCTACCCTGATAAAGGTCCTGTATAAACTCCTACCCTAATAAAGGTCCTGTATAAACTCCTACCCTCAGAAAGGTCCTGTATAAACTCCTACCATGAGCAAGGTCCTGTATAAACTCCTATCCTGATAAAGGTCCTGTATAAACTCCTACCCTCAGAAAGGTCCTGTATAAACACCTACCCTGATAAAGGTCCTGTATAAACTCCTACCATAATGAAGGTCCTCTATAAACTCCTACTCTGATAAAGGTCCTGTATAAACTCCTACCCTGGTAAAGGTCCTGTATAAACTCCTACCCTGAGAAAGTTCCTGTATAAACTCCTACCATGAGAAAGGTCCTGTATAAACTCCTACCCTGAAAAAGGTCCTGTATAAACTCCTACCCTGAGAAAGTTCCTGTATAAACTCCTTCCATGAGAAAGATCCTTTATAAACTCCTATCCTGAGAAAGTTCCTGTCTAAACTCCTACCCTGAGAAAGTTCCTGTATAAACTCCTACCATGAGAAAGGTCCTGTATAAACTCCTGCCTGAGAAAGGTATTGTAGAAACTCCTACCCTGATAAAGGTCCTTTATAAACTCCTACCCTGAGAAAGTTCCTATAAAAACTCCTACCTTGATAAAGGTCCTGTATAAACTCCTACCCTGGTAAAGTTCCTGTATAAACTCCTACCCTGAGAAAGATCCTGTATAAACTCCTACCCTGAGAAAGATACTGTAAAAACTCCTACCCTGACAAAGTTCCTGTATAAACTCCTACCCTGAGAAAGGTCCTGTATAAACTCCTACCCTGATAAAGGTCCTCTATAAACTCCTACCTAGAGAAAGTTCCTGTATAAACTCCTACCCTGAGAAAGGTCCTGCATAAACTCCTACCCTGATAAAGCTTGTCTACCTGAACCCTGGTGGAAGAAATGTATCCTCCTCCTGTATGTATTTAAGCACTGCTTTATCCGCTCCTTGGATCAAAAATTTTCTAAAATACAGAAACATATTAAAAATTTAAGCCTTTAAATGCATAACAAAACAAATTGGGCAAAAAAAAAACTTTTAAAAAATTAACAATTAGTTTTTTTTCATGTTAACATATTTAGTTTTTAGTGACCCTATAGTATATATATATCAATGATTCATATGCAAATAGTGTAAACATCCATAATAATAAAGATCCATAATAACTACTGTAAATAGTGTAAACATTTGAGCATTAAAGATCCATAATAACTACTGTAAATAGTGTAACCATTTGAGCATTAAAGATCCATAATAACTACTGTAAATAGTGTAAACATTTGAATATTAAAGATCCATAAGTGTAAATATTTGAATATTAAAGATCCATAATAACTACTGTAAATAGTGTAAACATTTGAACATTAATGATCCATAATAACTACTGTAAATAGTGTAAACATTTGAATATTAAAGATCCATAATAACTACTGTAAATAGTGTAAATATTTGAACATTAAAGATCCATAATAACTACTGTAAATAGTGTAAATATTTGAATATTAAAGATCCATAATAACTACTGTAAATAGTGTAAACATTTGAAAATTAAAGATCCATAATAACTTCTGTAAATAGTGTAAACATTTGAACATTAAAGATCCTAACGCAAATAGCGTAAACGTTTGAATATTAAAGATCCATAATAACTAGCGCAAATAGTGTAAACAATTGCACATTAAAGATCCATAATAACTACTGCAAGTAATGTAAACAATAAATAGTGTAAACAATCGCCCAATACAATAGATAATGAAAAACTACCAACCAAGTTTTAAAACGTCTGATTTCAAAATTTGTTCAAGATAAAAATAATGCAAAAAAATCACGCCACATCCAAGTTGGAATGTAAAATGTAAAATGATTTTACAGGGTCACCAACAAAGAATGATACTTTAATGACGACCTTAAACTATTTAATTCTAACATTCTAAATAAATTATGGTCTTTGGTCAAAAATATAATCTTTTATATGTGTACTGAGATGAAAACTTTAGAACCAATTACAGATACTATATCGATTGGAGTTGGACTAATATCCGATTGAATTAAAGTCAGCTGTTTACAAGCTGGCTTTTAGAGCATTTAAACAGATATGAATTTAATCATGTTAATGTGAAATTATTAATAAACATATTTTACGTTAGTCTTAATAAACATTAATCCAAAACTTATGTTCGTTCAATCGATGTTTAGTTCAATTGTTATGACACCAGAAATCAAAACTGGGTTTTCAAAAATTAAAGAGTACATCTTTACATTACACACTGATTGGCTAAATTTTTAGCTTCTTTTTTGGATATCAAATACGTTTTAAAATAATCTTGGGTTAAGTAAAACCAGGAGTTTAAGCATTAATCTTAATATCCACCATTCAAAAGTTTTCAGCTCAGAATGGTTTTGCAAAGTCAGCTAAACGATTAAGCCGGAATCATCAATGTAAGAAAAAGGACTTGCAAAATTTCGTACAGTCGTCTCTGAAGTTTGATCTTTTGTTGGTAACTCTGCAGTTCATCATTTCATGTGCTGTAGGAACAGGGTTATCCACGATGGATGACACAAAACTCAGATTCGCCATTCTCTCATTAGTTTTATCTCCAAACTTTTGCGAGATAAGAAGACAGATTAAGATGCGATTGGAGTTAATCTTTTTGCGATTTAAATCGATTTAATAGGTTCGAGCTCATGAAGTTAAAATAAAACTATTTCTAACCTGCCATGGACTTCTATGATGTCCCCAATACCCATGTTCTGTAGAGTATATATCTCAGGACTCCTCTTATCTATACTAGCTGATCCAGGGATATAGACCTGCTTACGTTCCATAAACCTGCCATCCCTAGAATAGAATAGAATAGAATAGAATAGAATAGAATGGAATAAAATATAATAGAATAGAGTAGAATATAATATAATAGAATATATTAGAATAGAATAGAATAGAATAGAATAGAATAGAATAAAATAAAATAGAAAAGTTTCGCGGCTTTTTTCAATATTCCATGTTGACTAGTTGACATGATATTACGCATGCTGATATAGATAGTTCTATTATTTAAATAGACTCAAAACTAATTTATCATGTAAATCAATACTATGTGTATCGGCCCCTCACGTGTGCGCATTGACATACGTTTCGCCGCACGACGTTAATGAAACCTTATTAGTTTCCAGAAAGAGCTGGGTTCCAAGCTAGCTAGATAGGGTTTCTACTATCTATCAATCTATATTTAATATGTATAAAGATATAATCTCTGTTTCTCTTTCGGTATGTTTGTTTGTTTGTTTGTTTGTATGTCCATTGTCCGATCATGACTCAAACACACTTTGACTGATTTGCCTCAAATTTTGAACCATGGTAGTGTTCTTAGTTTGGTTTTACAACTCTTAGTGGAGAAGTCTGTCTTTTTAAGGGAAATTTTAGTTTCCCGGCAAAGCTGTGTTCCCAAACTATAAGTAAAGGGTGTTGTTGTGAATCGAGTCTGACATTCTTTAAAAAAAAGTTCACTTTGAATAACGTGAACAATCCATTTATTGCAGCTTAACTGATTCTGAAGCAAATGGTTTAGGTGTAATTATTTTGTGCTACAGGGGTGAATTTATTATCTTAAATGTTCCAGTTTTGCTAATTCATAATTATCTTTATGGGATAATTGCACGCTGCAACCAATCCTAATTGTGAGGTAAAAACATAAAAAGATTTTAAAGGAATGTTCAGTGTTAACAGAGTCGAAATAAGACCCACCTTAGAAATCTTTATATTGTTGTTTAAAAAATAAAATAAACTAAAATTCATTTTTCAGTGATCACATCACAGATCGTTAGAATCTTTTAACGCACGACAGGATTTGTTCGTAATAATTGATAGTTTTGATTGTAAAAAATTCCTTTCTTGATTAATCGCAATTTATCTTAGTGCGGCCCCTAAATAATTAGTATACATAATGGAAAAGCTCTAAATAATGTGCCCCTCCGCCTGGTAATTGCAAGGGTGTCACACAAAAAGATTCTTTTAATTTTTCAAAAATAGTCGAACGTGATGGATGATGCACGAACAAAAAGAAGAAAATGGAGATTTAGAAAAATAGAAATGTCAAAATATTTGCATCTGCTATCATATAATTATTTATAGAATTTTATTAAAATAAAAGAATAAAGAAATATGTTTTAAAAATGTGCCCCCCCCCCTCCCCTCTCCCTGAAAACCCTTTCATGGGAGGTATCTGCATGCAAGGCCTGTTTCAGCAATGTTAATCCTATAGATCTTACACGTCTAGAAACAGAACAGAGATTAGAATAGAAGGGAAATAAAACTATCCCTCGGTAGGAATTTGTTCAGATCCTTTCAGCCTGAAAAGGAGTTCAAAGTGTACAATTCATGTAAATTTTCGCAAATTATACGCAGTACATCACAATAATACAGTATGATCATTGGACATATCTGTTGCAATTAATTCTTCTTCTTTCAAGAAATTTTTATATAAAAAGATGTTCCCGGGCCCAAAAGGTTATATACCACAAATTTTTGAAGTACACGCTTGATAAGTTTTCCCATTTTATAACAGATTTTCATAACTGGGGAAACACTTTTGTAGTGTTTAAAATATTAAAGGTTTACACCATCAGGTTGTAAAGATATAGGGATTAAAAAGTTTGAGCTAGTGGCAAAGACTCAATTCCTTACCTTTTCACTTTTACCACCTCTTGATATTGACCAACATTATCGACCTATGATTCCCTCAACAGAGGAACGTTAAAGGGAGTGTTCGCGAAAAATGAAAGAGGGTATAGGCTTAATGCGATAAAAAAGCACTTTTGATTGCTTCTAATCTTACTTCTATCTGTTGCGTCTATAAGGAGAAAATTGATAAAAACGACTAACTAATACTGAAGAACGAAGTATCCATACAAATTCAGCAAGATGCAACATACGACTTAGACCGTAAAAAAATCTATTTAATTTCAAACAAATCATTCAGATATTACACCCTATGGCCATCGATTATCTTTCGCCACATTTGTATATAGCTAATTTTTCATAATATGTTTTGATTTTATTTTTTAAAATAACATTAAGTTTCCAACTTGCTTTCGAACACTCCTGGAAAATATGAAAATGTCGTCTTCATTACCAAAAATCCTCGAAATAGGAATAAATGTTTTTTTAAGTAACTCTCAGATCATAACAATTAAAACATATTATGAAAAATTTACTATAATTGAATCGTCAAGGTGATCAGAGAGAATTGAATCGTCTAAGCGTCCAGGGAGAAATTGAATCGATTAAGTTCCCAGAGGGAATTGAATCGTCTGAGCGCTGAACTCACACTATACAAAAGTTTAAACCTCAGTTTTCCAAACTATACCTGAGTCCGGAGTTAGGAAGAGCGTTTTCAAATATGGAAATAGAATCGTCCTCTAGATGGTAGGTTAGGATAAACCTGCGGTATTTATCTCTTGGGTGGGGGGAAACCAGGGAGAGCTCAAACCTGGAAATATCTAAGGTTTATAAGGTTTTTATCCGCAAAGTAGCCACATTTTCCAAGGGTTTAAACATTACATTGTCAGGAAATCATAATTGTATTTTCAGTAAGATCCTTGGGTGGGGTTTCATTTCATCCTTTCTTTGATTTTGTCAAACAAACTTGGTTTATCAAAATGGAGTAATTACTGTGACTAAAGTTTCATCACAATAAGATGTCATTGTAATTAATTCACGCGCAGTTAAAAGTTTTGGATTGATCTATTAAGATACCATAGTTTTCTGGATTTATCCAAGCGGACAGTATCTTCCTTATAAAAACATGGAAATTATAAAACCAAGGGCATTTAACTAAAAGGCGGTTATCAAACAAACCTGAATACCACTTACTTATTTTTATTTGCATAAAGTGATAACTGGCCTGATTAAAAGGAATTAAACTGATTAGGGCTGCAGGGTGTCTCTTTAAAAACTGCATTTGAAAATCAGAAAAAGAAAGTTCACAGTATATTAAAATCAGGAACACCTTGAAGTTGAGATTTTTCAGTTTTGTGTTTTACCTTAGTTTTTTCCCGGCCAAATCTTCATCATTTTTATAATTAAGAGAAATTATTAGAAAACATTATACATTTTTAAATGTTAATTAGAACCATGAGAGGACCGGTGGCTTACTTGGCCCTCCCAAAAAATTAAATTGCAGCAATTAACGATTTATAAATTTATCTCAAGCCCTTCATCGTATTATCATGATGGCCTTGGTATAAAGCGAATTGTGGATTTCTGCATAAATTATAAAGGTAAGGAAATGTCCAAGATTTGTAATCTTCGCTTCAGGTTGTGACCGGCAAGAGAGTACAATTATGATTCATTTGATGCTGATAGGATGGTTTAAGTTATAAAATGGCGTAGTAAAAGCACAAAATCTTGTTTTTAAAACATTAGGACTTAGGAGGTTACCTCACAAGAAACGTTATTTTTTACAATTATATATTTTCTCATCCATGTTATGTTTTTAAACTTGATTTGGTTCCCTTTTAGTATTTTAAAGAACGAGATTGAAGTCTTATATAGCAAATAAACAACTAAACCGTCTTACTACAGGGTGTCCCAAAAAACATGGGAATTCAGTGACGAATTCGATATCGTCTTTTTAACTAATTCTTTGATTTAGTGTAGTGATACCTACTGAGAAAGCTGTAATCTGTAAGAGTTTCGTCTGCTATGTTCACATTTTGTTTGTTTATGTTTTGACTGCAATAGGTTGTACTTAGTAAAACAAGAAAATGGCAGTATACAAACAGAGTAAACTTGTCCGTCTTCACTGTTCATCTTGCGGAGACATTATAGACACATATTTACAGTCAATTTTACCCTTTTCATAAAAATAAACTCTAGCAGACATAATAATATTATGGCTTTTAAAATTAGGTAACACAATGATAATTCATAACAAAGACGATATCGAATTCGTCACTGAATTCCCATGTTTTTTGGGACACCCTGTAGTATCAAATTTAGTATCATAAATGTACGCTCGTCTAATATTTTAGGCATTACGTATGTAATGTTTAAGGACAAGATAAGGGAAACGCTTATCTTAAAAACTTTGAAAAATACGCAATTCCGGTGATGCTAAAAAAACGTCTGTGAGACCAGTTTTCTGTGTGCTTTTTGGTGAATTAACTGAATTTGAAGTTTAAGTGCAGTATTTCTTGTAATAGTAAAACTGTACTGACGTCATTATATTTTTAAATTAAAAATGTTTTCCTAGTTTTTTCTTTAATTGTAGTTTGGGTGGTTGAGGTGTCAGCTTTAAACAATTCTAACAGAAATGTAAATAAAAAAATTGTTTCCTTTTTTATACCAAAAATGTATCAAAGCTGGAAATATTTGTATAACTAATCAGGCTAAGAAGCCTAGGAATTTAGTGGCTCTCTACTTCCAGTGGACCAACTTCAATAATAACGGCTTAAAGTCTAAAATCAAGTCTGAAATCCGCCAATTACAGCGTTTTACCTCTGAAATAAAATCGGCGGCTAATATCTCCGGACTCCGGTTGGCTAATATCTCCGGACTCCGGTTTAGTCTAGGTTAATAGGTATCCTAGACTTATTCAACACTTACCATGAATAAAAATATAGATAAATATGCAATAGACCTATTTAGAATATACTAAATTTAATTTTTCTTTCAAAATACTTTGTTACCACTGAACTTCTGTTTTAACTTCATATTTTTATATTTTTAATTTGTTTTTACATCTTTAAACAAAGGAAAAAACTTGTTTACTTTTATCTTTAAATAAGAAAACTATAGTTTTATGAAAAAGCACATTTTACGCCTAAAGTGACTAAAGTGACTAAAGTGACTAAAGTGACTAAAGTGACTAGAGTGACTAAAGTGACTAAAGTGCCTAAAGTGACTAAAGTGCTAAAGTGACTAAAGTGATTATAAAAATGAGGCGAGTCAAAAAAAGAGAAAATCTAAAGTTTTGGGATTAGTTCAGAAATTAAAATATAATGATAAAATATAAACAAAAACTTTAACTAATTAATTAATAATGTTGAAGATATCGTCATTTTCTAACTTAATAAGTGTTAAGTTCTGACTTGATCTCAACAAGCTTTTATGGGTGCCGAAATGGAGGGTCACTTGATGTACGTGTTTGTGATTTTGATATTGAGAAAAGTGAGCATTTTAAAATATTTATTTTTTATTTTCTGTTCCTGAAGAGAATCTTGAAATGTTCCAATCTTCAGCCCGGAGTGAGGAGGAACCTGGAGCAAAAAGAAAAAAACATTTATTTTTATTTTGAGAAAATGTTATCCTGCAATTTTACTCACAAAATTTCATGGGGGTTTCTTTTATGTACTTTTTTTAAAATTTGAATTGAATATATCCAACCGTTATTATTTGGGAACATATGTTTTTGTTGTAGTGATTTTTTGTTTGCTTTTAATTCCTTATAATACGTCTTTCCTACTCACAACGTTTGTGATTAAAAATCTTGAATTTAAACCTTAAACAAACAATAAAAACAAAACAAGCATAAATGTATATTCTTGCAACTTCCCTATGACCTTAAAAATTAAAACTAATTTATTCCGAGTTCTATTTCAGCATTTCCTAAATATTTGTAAAATAATAAAAGTTAATTAAACCTAATTAAGAAATTATTCATTAACTAACATTAAAATCAATTAAATATAATTATAAAATAAATTCATAATTCATAAATAATTAGGGTTAATTATTAAAAGTGCGGTGGTCAAGTATTTTTATTACCAAATAAGTATCAGTATTTTCTACTAATTGAAAATATTTTAAACAATACATCATCTCCTTGGTTAAACACAGAGAGAGAGATATTTGGATATACAGGGTTACCCACAATAGATGAGACTTCAGAGACAATTGTACGGAATTTGTTTAGTGCGTTTTCTTGCATTTAGGGTTCCTTGTATTTTAGAGTTTTTGGTCGTCTTTACAGTTGCATCCTTTGTGAATAACCCTTTATATTATAACCTGTAAATGACAAGTTACCCCCCCCCCCCGTTTAAAGAGTGCATTCCCGATTTCACAACGCTATTTTTAAACCAGTATCTCAACAAGGATGAAGAAGTTACTTTTTAGAATACCAACAATTCATACATTTTCGGATTTAAAAAAAGTATCTCAAATATTTTTACTCAGAAGATTTCAAGGGAATTGGGCTACTCCATGTTTAAATGGAGGGTCACTTGAAGTTACGACAACAGTTTCTTTAATGGAAGAAGAGAAAAATATAACCCGTTAATGTATAGAAGGAGATGGTAGAGGATGAATGATATTAACTGTAAAGGTATAGAAGGAGATGGTAGAGAATGAATGATATTAACTATAAAGGTATAGATGGAGGTGATAGAGAAGGAATGATATTAACTGTAAAGGTATAGATGGAGATGGTAGAGAATGAATGATATTAACAATAAAGGTATAGATGGAGATGGTAGAGAAGGAATGATATTACCTGTATAGATATGATGGAGATGGTAGAGAATGAATGAAATTAACTGTAATTGTAAAGGTATAGATGGAGATGGTAGAGCCTGAATGATATTACCTGTAAAGGTATAGAAGGAGATGGTAGAGACTGAATGATATTACCTGTAAAGGTATAGATGGAGATGGTAGCGGATAATTGGGAAATATAACCTGTAAAGGTAAGGATGGAGATGGTAGAGGATGAATGGGAATAGCTTCAAGTTTGTCATGTCCAACAAATTCACTGAAATCATGGTTTTCAGAATTTAAAATATTGAAACTACACTGATGGGCCGGGGAAGTATTTAACAAATTTAGAATTGAACAAATTCTAAAATAACCTATTTGTTATGATTTGTGAGAAGTTATTAACTTTCTCCGTCTACGGTTATTTATCGTTCATAAATTCCGACCAAACTTCATGCACACTGTACACTCTGGTTCATTTCAATTACTTGGCCGACTTTAAAGCTGTTAGAACAAGCAGTACAGGCTATATAAGAGAAACCATGGGACATGCCACCAAATGAATATTTGAGGCAAATTGGTCGATGTGTTCATGAGTTATGATTAGACATACAAACAAACAGAGATTACTACTTTATATACATCATATATATACTATTTGATGAATTTAACGTCTGATTGTAACATTAAAAGTTTTACTGTCTGAATTATTTCTGATAGGATTCAATTCGATTACTACTAGTAACGCTAACCTGTAAAAATCTTTGGTGAATGGGTCCATGTCGAAGATGAAGAAGTCCTTGTTCAAGATGTTGATGGTAGTCCCGATCATGAAGTCCGAGGGGGAGAAGAAGTCCTTGTTTGCCTCCATACTTGGGAAATGGTCGGCCTGGCCAGTTCGAGTCTTTAAAAAAATCACTTTATAGAAATCAATGCTTGTTGGTCTGCGGTTTTAGAGATGGTTTTTAAAGAGACAAAACAAAATAAACATTTTTGGATTCTTAAACTTAAATCTATAGTTTAGTTTTTTAATCATAACATAGGAGTTAAAAGCATTTTACCTTTGGAAGTTTTCTTCGTGAAAGAAACTTTTTGCAATTTTTTCTCTCCACAAAGTCCTGAGGGTCCTTCATAAGGAACTTATTATTCATTTTATATTTATCTTTTTTTTAACATTGGAGGAGTCCCTGAGCTAGATCAGAAATTGTGTATTGTTAATTTCTTGGGATAGTACTAATCTGTTTATTTTTTTGACCCAACTAACGGATTTAATTTATCTGCCCATGACTAAAGAGAGATTACAAAATAGAAATGATAATTTATTCACTTAAAAAAATATCTTCCACTGTGGATATCGAGTTCAGGCAAATAAAAATAGCGCTATACAGTGATAACCAGAAAACTGCTGAAAAGGAAGACGACATTAAAGCAATACTTAAGTGCATTTGAGGTTGTTAAAAAACAAATAGCTTTATCAGTTATTAAATCAATTATTATGTCAAATGGGTCTGCTTTCAATGCAAAATTGTGTGTCTTATTTTAGTTGGACTTTTTAAAGTCATAAGCTCATATTAATTCCTGTTTTTCCTCAAGCTCTTAAAGTACAATTTCTTTTATTAAAGATAACAGAGTTGTTTTTGCTTTTTCCATTGAGAGGTGTTGTGTAAAGAATATTAATTAAAATCTGATTATTTATCAAGCTTTTTACTCTTCCTTACATGGTTAAGTTATGCTTTATTTTTCGTAATTGTAGCATTAAAAAAAGATACTCTATGATATAGTTTCAAATGAACCTCCAATTTCAATGTCTAATTCACAACAGTATCCTTTATAACCTTATTTTTATAAATAATCTAGAAGATATCAGCGATTTTTAAGTTTGAGAACAGTTTAATTTTGTCAATTCTTCCATTATTTCTATAGAATAAATCCGCAAGTCAGTTTTAAGGAGAACCTACATTAGTAGTAAATTTTTAAAGAGAAAAACAAGGATAGCTCAGTCATTCTTGATTCGAGAGTGTTTTATGGGTAGCGTTGTAAATCTAACATGCCACTCTATACATGGTGAGCCAATTAAAATAACGTCTACAGTCCCTTTAAATGGGTTTAAAATGAATAATTGTATTCCCTCTCTAACTTCTATACTTCCATCTGCTAGATAATAACAAATCAAATACCTAAAATATAAAACTAAACAATGGTTAGCGGCTCGGTTGTCTTTTTGACATAAAGTTTGCTTTTATTAAACTTTACAATATATTTTTCCTAAAAACATTAAAAACGATTTAAAAATGATCGTTCTAGTATAATCGGATTTGCATCAATTTTGGATCACGATCCAAAAGCAAACCAACTTTATGCACATCGGTAGTTAGAGTGGAGATTTAGAGATTTAGACCCAAGAAAATTTTTTTTTAAATCGGCCTCTGAAGTTATGATAAACTTTTTCAAATAACTAATTTGGCATGAAAAAAATTCTGACGCAAAGAACCCAGACAAAAGTCTCATCCTAGACCGAATTTAAAGAATTTGAGACATCATGGTTGATTACACTTTAAATTGTATTCAGTGTTTCAAGATTTGGGCCGCGGTGTCCTGCATGGAGCGGACTCTTGTATGGGGCGGACTCGACCCCTAAAGTCTTATTCATTTTAACACAATGTTAGAGTTAAAAAGCAATGTTAAAACATTAAAATTTATTAGTTAACGTATATTCAATGAGCATTTAGTTCTTAAATGTATTTATAAAGGGGGTAAAGGCAAAAAAATTTTTTTTTTTAAATGTCGTCTTCCTTTCAAATCATAAAACAATTAATATTTACTCGAGACATATATAATTTTGTTTGTGTTTTTCAAATCAAAATGGATTAATGAAAATGTCATAACATTGTTTTTAATGCCTAACATTGTGTTAAAATGGTTTAAACTTTAGGGGGGAGTCCGCCCCATGCAAGAGTCTTCTCCATGCATGACACCGGCGTTCAATTGAAAACGGTTTTTGGCGGTTCAGCGATAAAGTTTAAATTCTTTAAATTTGGACTCCTATATGTTTAAAGGAACGTAGCATGCAACAGTTCTATTTTTTTATAACATTATTAGATTCATTAGAAATATTTTTAAAATAAATAAATACCTTGCTTTTCCATGTTTACCAAGAGAATATTCAGGCATTGACGACAAGCAGTAAAATCTATAAAAAAAATTCGGATGTTAGAAATACAAAAAATTATAATTATCTCAAAATACAAAAAAAAATATAATTATTTCAATATACAAAAAATATAATTATCTCAAAATACAAAAAATATAATTATCTCAAAATACAAAAAATATAATTATCTCAAAATACAAAAAAAATATAATTATCTCAAAAAATATAATTATCTCAAAATACAAAAAATATAATTATCTCAAAATACAAAAAATATAATTATCTCAAAATACAAAAAAAAATATAATTATCTCAAAATACAAAAAAATCGGATAAATTATCTATAAATACATAAAAGGTCAGGATAACTATAATACAAAGAAACGAATAAATATTCAAAAATTTAGGAATTGAGTCTTTGCCACATCAAACTCTGAATTTATAATCCCTATATCTTTGGAACCCAATGTCGTAAATATTTGATTTTATTTTTTTAGAAAACGTTTTCAACGGATTTCGAAAATTGTGAGTGGTGTGCGGCATTCTTAGATAGTTGCGCAAGCGACAAGAGAAACAAACACATTAATTAAAAAACATTATAAAATAAAAACTATATACAAATGTGGCGAAAGATAATCGATGACTATAACTATAGGTTGTAATATCTGAATGATTTGTTTGAGATTAAATTAATTTTTTTACGGTCTAAGTCGTATGTTGCAGTTTTCTCAATTTGTATGGCCGCTAAGTTATTCGGCATGAGACGTCTTTAACAATTTTCTCCTTATAGACGCAACAGATAGAAGTAAGATTAGTAGCGATCAAAATCGCTCTTTTATCGCATTAAGCCTATACCCCCTTTAATTTTTCCCGAACACTCCCTTTAAACAGCTACGTCTATTAAATCCCAAATATTAAGTATTAAGTTAAATACTCAAAAATTATTTTTGTTAAATTGTTAAATGGGAGGTTTTGCTTGTCATGGCTCAAGTAACTGTTTCATAACCATGTGATTACTTGTATAACCATTTTTAAACATGATTTCGTGATTTGATGTTTGTTCATGTTTTTACAAAAAGAAATATCCACAGAACGGTTGGACCACTAAATTATTACATATTAAGAAGATTCTAAACTTTTTTCAATGCAATTAAAATTATTATCCACGTAACAATTAGGTAGATATCAGTAGTTTTCTAACTGTAAAGTGCTGATTTCTATTACTTTCCTTCCTTGTTTCTACAGAATAGGAGACTTTTACACATCAATCAAAAACAAATAATATTTTACTGGACAAATAAGTAAATTTCAGTCATCTAGATAATCCGCTAAAAAGTACCGTTGCCCATGCCCCTGCAATGAATCGATGGCAACTTGAAGTCCGTCTCTGGTACCATCAAACAATTCCAAAACAAATTATGTTTACCTTAATACTTGTTTATCATGTTGTAGGAACCTCTGCAGTTTATCCCAGTCATCCTTCAAATTCAAAATACTAAATGGACTGTACAATTATTTCAAAATACTAAATGGACTGTACAATTATTTCAAAATACTAAATGGACTGTACAATTATTTCAAAATACTAAATGGACTGTACAATTATTTCAAAATACTAAATGGACTGTACAATTATTTCAAAATAGTCATAAATTCCCAATCTTTAGGATTGGAAACTTTTAATCTATAAAGTAAACTTCATATATTTACTATTCCTTTCTGGTAGAGAGTTTCGACTGCTTCAAAAAAAACTTGTTGGAACTTAGAGAGAATATATTTCGATATATTTCATATCCTTCTCAATTCTTGGGGTGTAGTTTTTAAGCAATGTGCGAAAGAAAATCTAAAAATTTAGTTCTAAAACTGGTTTTTTAAAATGAACAATTTACGGAGAAGTTCAGACGTTCTGGCTCACAGAAATTTCTTTGAGCGGTAATTTAGGCTTTGTTGTGATTCTAAATTTAAAAATTAGGGAATCATGTGTATTTTTAAGGGAAATGAGTTTTTGCCACAAGCATATATCTGTATAACCCAATGTCGTAAACCTTTGATATTTAAAACTATGAATTTTATTAGATCAAAAAGATTAATTGTTTAATACATCAAAGTTTTACACCATCAGATTGAAAAGATATAAGATATAAGAAAATTCGAATTTTCGGGAAAAACTCAGTTTTTTTGTGAACAATCCCGTAAAGCAAAAATATTCCGAAAGTTTTTAGAAGTCTTTGTTATAACGATGGTATAGTTGAGTTCATATTTTCATATTCAAAATATCTTTTCCAATATTTTTCTCATGAAAACAACATTATGAATTTTACTAATGAATGTTCTGTTGATTTGCAAAAAACATTTATTGACATTTGAACCATGAACATAGATGCATTATTTTTTGCATATTGAAGTCAGTCATGCGAAATTTGCAATCTTGATGTTACAAAATTTTATGTTTATACAACTCTTTAATTCATGGAACAAATACAGAGAAAGGGAGAATTAAAAAAAACTTTCTTTATGCAAAAACTAATACAAACCTCTTAGAAATGAATAAGAATTAAAAATAGCTTAATCTCCTGAATTAGTCGATACATTTCCGCTGTTCAATTAAAAATTAAATTAAATTAAAATTAAAAATTGAGGCAAATTGATAAGGGGTGCTTGAGTCATAATCGAACAAACAGACACCCAAACGGATATTACTACTTTATATATTTAAAATTAAATGATTTTACTTGCTTGGGAACCCAGCTTTGCCTTGACTCCATGAACTTTCGATATAAAAGTCAATTCATTCAACCCGTAAACAAATAGACAAATAAAACAAAAGAGATTGTCCACCTTTTAATGTTTTAAGATCGGATGAAAAAGGTGGCCTAGAGCCCGACACACATTATTATTATTACAAGCTATTAACCACACTTGGCCCAGGGGATAAATAAAGATTAAACCAGAACTCTCATTTGGAAATCTATAAAATCAAATTTTTCTGAAATTTTTTTCTAGACATAAAAAAGTATTCTCTTAGAATTATTATGACAATGACATACTTACAAAAAAATTTTACGGACATTTTAAATGGTCGCTGGAAATGGGATTTAATGAGTGAGAAAAAAATACCTAGTAAAGAGAAGAAATGGTTTGAAGAGCATGACGGTCATTTTAATTTTTGTGAAGAACACATTTTAAACACTTATCTAAGAATACTATTTTGGTTCCTGAAAATGATTAGAGAAAAATGTTTCACGTTCCTGCAAACATTTAATAAATATAATATCTTTTAAATTTATAATCATTATTATTTTTTTTATTAAAATCATCATTAAACTGATCTGCAAGTTTTTTCCATGTTTCCAAAATGATCAACATGAAGGCGGACTATGTTAACTATGTTTGTTTATTCGCTATCAGAGGGTTTAACTCCCCCCCCCCCTTAAAAAATACTTAACTAGTGATATAAATTAACCTTTTTAAGGGAAATTATAATTAAAGGAAATCTTTAAATTATTTTCAAATCTGCACAGTAAAAAATGCTATCGCAAATTATTATTTGATTTTAATTTTGCATATTGAAAATCATATGTACATAACAAAATATTTCTAATTTAATGCAAAAATTGCTGCACATGAAACCGCAATATTTGCGCATTTTTTTCAGGGATGCATTTAAGTTACGGAAAGTTCATGTCATGACCATGAATGGTAAATGTTGAGATTAAATTATTGGTTCTGATAGACCATGTGTTCGCGGGCAATTCTTCTACAATATATCAGTATCACGTTCCAAATGTCTCTTCAAAGAACAGGGTTAAAAAATGTTAATTTAAAATTTTTTAGAAAAATTTATGTTTTGATATGGTTACATAGCAAGTGGAGTTTTTCGCCGAAAAATTGTTGAGCTCCACTGTTGCAAAGTGCGTGTAAATTGCATTAAAGTACACATAGTACTGTTTATCTAAAAAGCAATAAACAGCAATTAAGATGCAAAAAAGAAGTTATTTGATTACTCTCTGAGTAGATAAATTATCACTTACATACATTCTATTTCACTTTGATAAAACCTAACACTAAAATATTTTAGAAAAAATATTATAAATATAACTTTTCTTTCCTAGGACATATTCCTCAAGTGTCAATTACTATATCACCTGAATCGGTTTTGCAACCTAATGTTGCGTCGACTTTATAACAGCTCGATTCACGCTTCAGGAGTTGTAAATACGTTAAAAGAAGCAATAAAAGATGCAACATTTTATTGCTAATTTACCATTTTTTAAGCAAAATTGTCTAATCATGGTTGGCAATGTGGACAAAAATAAACATTGAATTTAACACTTTTTAGCATTAATTTGAACATACTTTTCTATTTACCTTCTCTTTCTGTAGCTATTTTATATACTTTTTAACATTGATTTGAACATACTTTTCTATTTACCTTCTCTTTTTGTAGCTATTTTATATACTTTTTAACATTTTGGCTCCTTTGATCCGGACCCGAATCGGCAAAAATATGCGGATTTACGGATCCGGATCCAAGTAACAATCCGGACCCAAGGAACAAAATATCAACCAAAGTCTGATAAAAGAACTTTTGCTCTTTTAACACTAATTATTAACTAATAAGAGATTAATATAAACTTCATAAAGGTACATTGAGTTTCAGCTTAATACTATGCTAAAAAAGAAAATTTTGAATATTTTAATTTCTTCAAAAAATCTTGAAGGATTCAGATCTGCATCCGTAGCTCTGCTGCTTAATAAAAATCTTTAGGTTCTTCCCGTCTTTTATTTAAATTAGTTAAATAAAGAAACTCTTCAGCTGTTTAATCGAACTTCAATGCACTGCAAAAGGTGAATTTTAATTTATACTTAAAATTGAAAACTTTTTTCGATTTTGATAGATTTTTTTCTCTAAAATTAATTATATTTTGTTAAAAACCCTTGAACTGTTTTATAGTATATATTCTGTTATTGATTGTAACATTTGATATCAATATTATTAACGTTTTATGAAATTCTAGCTCAGCTCAGCTATCCCAGTTAACCAATCAGATGCGGAGAGTGAGACACACTTTGCACTTAAAATTATATAAAAGTTTTTAAACTAACTTCGTTAATTTTTGATTAGTCGGCTTATTGTCGACTACAAATGATTTGTTCCAACAGTGTAAATACATGAATGAATAATAGGGTTGTTAATCGTTTTATATAGTTTTTGAAGGGCTTTAGACTTTTAGAAGTTTTACACTAAATCTAAACTTTGATTTTCTTTTCCCCTATGACCCAAGGGTTTTCAAATTTTCTTTCAATCTCTTTCGCGAAAAGTTCGTTTAGCAAACGAAAATGTGAACGAAAACGAAAATGTTCGTCGAAAAATGTTCACGAAATTCGTTCGAAATTTTCGCGAAATTCGCAAAATTCGTTGAAATTTCCACCTCTCCTGCAAAATCTTATTTTATCCGCAATAATGCAATCTAGCTGATTTGAAATGGAAAAATTTCGATTTTATCGAACGAAAATGAGGTCGAAAATTTCGTCGAAAATACACTGAAATTCGCAAACATTTTGAACGAAGTTCAACTAATTTCGTTCGTTCATTTTCGCGAATTTCGTTAATCGAAAATTTCAAACGAACTAAAACGATTAACACCCTTAGATAAGTACACACAGTACACATCCATTTAGATTATATTTTTATTCTGTTAACGGACCGTGGGGGGAGATCTAGGCAAAGAATTCGATTCATGTCAAAGATATATTTACAAGAACATTTATTAATAATAACCGTCTACCATTTTTTGCATTTAAGAAGAATAATACGCCGATCCAAATAAAAACAATTGTGCAAAAACTTTTGAGTGGAACCTCACATGAACCCATAAAATAAAAAATGTCTTTAAAATTATCTTTTTAAATTTTGTTTTAATCCACAAATGAAAACCATGAACATCTAGGACATTTTACATTTTATAGTGTATGAAGCAAAAATGTTAGCAATGGAAAGCAAGATTTCAAATTCAGTATTGTTACTACAAAAAGGGGTGGAAAAAATCACACATGCATGTCATAAATAAATTAATATTTTCCTTCCAACCTCATTTTACATTGGTTCAGCGTAAAAGAGGAATGGCAATGTATCGCTTTAAGTTTAATTAGTGATAAATTTTATCCAAAACAGTGTAAAGGAGGGGGTCCTTCTACATAGTTAACATAGATCCAAATTGCAATAAAAAGTTGTGTCAAATTTTAAGACCGGGTCGACTTTTAAGTGTCATAATGCTTTTAGCTTTGGCCTTTAATTTGTCCTCATTATAACTCCGGCATTATATCTTTTTTGTAGCCCTAAAAAGTATATTTAAGAACTAGAAAACACAATTACTTTTAAATTTTATGAAATAATTTTCAAAATTCTCATCAATTTTTGCGCAGCGTTATGATCACTATGAATGAATATAAAAAGTGTTTCCATTATTTTTAAC